TTTGAAAGATCACTCATAATGAACATATATCAACAAGATTTAGTCAAATAGTTAAGAACATCCCACTCTGAAAAAAAAATCACTTTTTTGAAAAAAACAAAACAACAACCAAAAAAACAAAACAAAAAAAAACAAAAAACAAAAACACCCCTAGAATATTGTAGGCTAACTTTCTCTGACCTCCACGGTGTCATCATTCCTGGCCTCAGCACACCCACTCAGCTCTTGTCTCATTATGCACTGCCGATTTCATCCATACAGCATTACTACTTCCTTTAAAGAGAGTCATTATACTAGACACTATGCTATCAGGTGGACTATTATAAACCATCTATGTCCATTAACAAATCTATGAAAAAAGGGTGAGAAGGGCAGTTAACTTAATTAACAAGTTGCTTTTCCACCACAAAATAAAAGTAGTAATCACCACATGATGTTACTACCTTGAAAGCCAATTTAAAGCAGCAGCTTTAAGTGGGCTATGTCTAAAGTGCTTAGAGGCAGAGAGAAAAAAAATGAAACATTGAGGGGATAAGGTGTGAATATCCTCCTCAAAAGAATGCTCTCAATGCACCTCTTAGCTTGTAGTGGATGTCTTCCAGATTGCTAAAATGTTGGATTCAATACAATAAACAGAGATAAGGTCTCAAAGAGGAGAATAGAAAAGAAAAGAAAATATTTGTAACCCATAGGAAAAAAATTAAAACTCATACAAGATATTTTCTTGCTCTCCATATTGGAAACAATCTAACTCATCCCCATGCTGGCTACCAGTTTCATTATTTGCCATTATTGTCCTCCCCACATGTGTTATGGGGTCATTTCCTTTGACATTCTAATCACAGTTTTCAAACTGAAATCTTAGAAGTTGAAGTTAATAGTGTTTATGCCTTCCAATGCCTACTATCCTTTCTTTTCTTCATTCCACTTTTTATTAAGATGATATTCTGATGACAGGATTTTTTTTCATTGTCAATATTTTCCCCTTGGAAAAAAATCCATCTATTAGCTTACAAAATTGGCCGGTCTCAGGGAACAACTTCATTTGGATTGAAGATTCTTCAGTGTATTTACCAATAGACATTAAAGGAAAGCCCAAGATGAAGTCTACAAAGTTCTTGTCAGTAACCAAGCAGGTACAGGATCCTCCTGATAGTGCCTATCTGGGAGACTAAATTAGCAAGTGAAATATGACTACAAACCGAGTCATGTGTTTGGTCATGTGAAATGGAGCAAGGCACACAAGCTTATGAGCACCAAGGCTTCATTGGAAAACCCTGGGGTTCACAGTGGATTTTTCTGAGGAAGTTCACATGGAGTTGGAATTGAAGCACAGGAAGAGCAGGAATACATGGCATGTCCCAAAAGATGCTACAGAAAGGCCCCGTGGAAGAGAGGAAGGAGGAAGTTGGAGGAGACCAGATGTGAGAACAGTGGCTTAATGAAGTATGGTGTGTAGCTAGAGTTTTTCTCTCCGGTCCGTCAAGCCCTGGCAGTCATCCCGCAGCCCACTTATAAAATAAACATACAGATGCTTATATTATTTAAACTACACGGCCATTAGCTCAGGCCTACCATTGTCTAGATCTTACTCTTATACTCATCCCATTTTTGTTAATCTATATGTCACCACATGTTCTGTGGCTTTACCTGCTGCCTTTACATGATGCTCCCTGGACGGCAGGCTGACATCTCCTCCTCTCTACCTTCCTGTTCTCTCAGTTCTCCTCTCTGCTAGTCCCGCCTGTACTTCTTTCCTGGCTACTGGCCAATCAGTGTTTTATTTATCAATCAATCATCCACAGCAATGGCGGCAGCAGGAACAGACAAAATCAAAACTGTGAGGGTATCAAGACTCTTAAGGGTCGTGTTTCCTATCCTGTATCCTGAAGCAATTTCAGAACAAAGAATTAAAAGCTAGGAGTTGTTGTGCGATATCTGTACACCTTGTGAAGATATATTGCTTTGATTGGTGTAATAAAAAGCTAAACAGCCAATAGCTAGGCAGGAGGTATAAGTGGGACTTCCCAGCAGAGAGGGAACTCTGGAAGGAAGAAAGGCAGAGTCACCAACCAGACAGAGAGGAGACAGGAGGTGTAGGATGAAAGAGAGGTAATGCCACATGGCAGAAGTAGATTAACATAGTTAGATGAATTTAAGTTATAAGAGCTAGTTGAGACAAGCCTAAGCTAAAGGCAAAACTCATAATTGATAATAAGTCTCTGTGTCATTATTTTGGGGTTGGCAGTCCTGATGAAAAAGTGTACCACATGGAATGAATGAAAGGAGTGAATGTGAGGGCCATACTCACCCTTTGAATAGTCTGTACTCTCTAAATCAATTAACTTTTAAATCAGAAAAAAAAATTCCAAATTTCATTCTATGGGGATAATTTTTGCCCTGTTTCACATATCATAATTAACACACTGAATGAATCATTTAATGTTGATTTTGTTCCTAAGCGAAATATTGTTCTGTCAGTTTTTTAATGCATTCTTCAACATACTGTATTTCATGTATATAGGTAAATGAAATAATTATTCAGATGTCTCCTCTCTATATGCGATAAAGAATGCTTTATTTATATAGTTGAGATATTATATGACTTTGACAAAGCAGAATTTTATGGTAATTTGATGTCTAAAAAGTATTTTCTTACAACAATCTAACAATTAGTTGTTAGATGTCATACGATTATAAATTTCCAAAAGTGCTTGTCAGCTGCAGAGTTGTAGGTATCTTTGTTTTCATTTATATGGTAGTTCCTGTCACTTTCATGAGTAAAAGGAACCATGCAATTTGCTCGGGTTTCTGTTTTCTTAGATCAGCTGACCTACTATGCTGGCTTGCTCATTCCTTCTACAATACATATTTGAGGAGTTTTCCTAGATCATTGATTCTGAATACTTAAATAAATACTTACTCTATCTTGAAACTCTCTCTTTGAACAACTGTATCTTATTTTCAAACAACTTGTCCTTTGGAGTAGATTCAAAATTAGGTTCCCAACTATGAATGAGCCATAGTGCAGCATATACAAAATTTGTAAAAATAATACCAGTAGGAAATAATATCTTAAAAACAATAAGAACTATGGTATCTTCTTTATAATTTTATATTTCTTTCAGTAGCAGTTTTTTTTTTTTTTTTTTTTTTTTTTTTTTTTTTTTTTTTTGGTAAGCTCCCATTGCTGAAGATCTTGCACACTTTAGTAACGTTATAAAAAATCTCAAGCTGATACTGACATGGAATCTTCCTTTTTGATGGCTTTTAAAGTTCTGGAAGGTACCTTGCAGGATGTTGGAGAAGAAAAGTTATTAACAGTATAACCCAGCTGTGAACACTGTTAGCTACAGTGATATTCTACAAGAAAAATAATCCCATTGGTGCAAAGTGGCTTTCTGATTGGATTCAAGGCCAATCTATAGGCGAGAACTCTTGTCTGATACTGTAAACCTGACAAAGAATCTTTGGTTGCAGATGTTATAGGTGCTCGGAGAGAACATACTGTTGTTGGCTTCCTAAATGGGGATAATATCACACTGCATTCCATACACTTAATAACTACTGATGAGTGAATTCCCCATCACTCATTAGAAAAATCTGTTTTTGCATTGGGCAGTAGTTAACAAAGAGAACTATTCAAAGCGCACTACGCAAGTGTGGAGAGCTCAGCCCTACATTGGAAATTATGCCCCAAAGGCATGGAGAACATCACAAAAGAAAGGTGGGAAAGATTCTATGTGCCAGAGACCAGTGGGGAGAGCTGGAAACAGTGTCTTCCAGATGCCACAGGGCTGAGGGTGTCACGAACTCACTGTAGCTGTGGTTCCTGCACAAGATTGAGGACTTCAAATCTTGCTCATGGAAAGGGAAAGTCTCACTGAAGGTCCACCCCGTTCATAGGAAGTATTGACAGTTAAAAGGAGCTGAGGGAAGATATATCACTTTCTTTGGTTCATCAGTAACCAATGACAAACTGTCCCTGCTACAGTGAAAAACCTCCTACTCACTCTCATACTGGCTGCCCACTGAAGCTTAGTGGGTCATACACAAAAAGACATGGAGAAAAGAATGAGGCTTGTAAGGAAGAAAGGTTTCAGGGAAAGGAGGAAGCAGAACAAGACAGATAATAAGGCTCAAGAAAGTCTAAAAATGCACTATATACATGCCAGAAACTGTCAAAAAGAAACTACGGTCTGTAAGTATTTTCTCAAATGCCACGAGTTAGCCTTTCATTCTCTTGGTACTTTCTCTTGATGTATAAATGTATGTAATTTTTGAAGTTCAATTTAGTGTGTGTGTGTGTGTGTGTGTGTGTGTGTGTGTGTGTGTGTGTGTGTGTTTTCATACTTTTGGTGTTAAAAATCATAAAACCATTTTTCACATAAAATATCTGTGTTGATTTTATTGAATTTATTTACTTTTCAGAATCAGATTTAAAATAAATTTTTCTTTTCCTTCAATTTTGCAAGGTTGATGTTAAAACTAAAGTCTTGACCTGGGATTTATAATGTATCCTTTGATTCCCATGGTTATCTTTATGGGTATATTTGAATCAGAAACCTAATATAATATTCCATTTATTATTTATTCCATTAATTATTTATTCATTGGTTAATGATAAAATCACAATTAGCATTGGGTCAAGTGCTATAGTTACAAAAGAGAAAAGGTACAGTTTCTAGTTTTGTGGACCTCTGTAACAAGCAAGGAAGAAGAGCATTCCCAGCATAACCACTAGAATGTGACCCCACATTAAAAGTAGGTTCAAAATATTACTAGAGTATGGACTGCAAACTACCTGGCAGACTGTGATTAAGCAGATTTAGTTTTGTAGCTCAGACAGAGAATTAGCTATCTTTACAAATTTTTGTAAATAGTATAACAGTGAACTAATCAAGTTTTAGAAAACAGTGGTCTTTGCTTTCTCTTTGATAACAGCAGTTAATTTTAATTTCCATTACACCCACTGTGCTTTACGCTTCTTTTCATTTCAGAATGAATCCCAGTTTCCTGAAAATATCCCAAGGACTGGCCTAAATACTCCATGATGAATCATCTCTGTAGACACAATATTTGGTACCTGATCATTGGGGTATATTATACTCAATACTGACATAAAATGACATGTGAAAAAATTCTAAAACTATGTCACATCACTTAAAAGTATTTCAATATCCTTGTTAAAAATATGTACTGTTGAAACAGCTGTGATCTACTTTTGTTTTTACCATTTCTAGCAAGTATTTTATTTGCAATAAAAAAAATTGAAGGACTATGAAAATTGTGTGGAGCCATCTGCTTCTGGAATTATTCTCACACAGAGGTTTACTCCTCAGTGGTTTTCAGCTACTTATGATTGTAGAAATGAATTGTACTTTTACATCTTCAGTTAACTAGGAGGGCCTAATTTTACTCTATCATCCTATAACAAGTGCACTGGCGCCCTATTTTCAATGGAGAAGGCATACCAAGTACCCAGGACTTGCACTTGATAATGAAGCCCATCAAAGAGCTTTATCTGTCTAAACAACTATCAGCAACTCTATATACCTGATAAGAAGCATATGGAGAAGCATGACACATGATCCCATTTATAAAGACACAACTTGAAGATTTAATGGAGTTAAGAGCAGGTGGGATTTTTATAAATAATGAGAAAGACTGGCTTTCATCAACATTCCAACTAGGACTGAGCCGTGGGTTGCCATCTCTTAATTTTTTTTTTTTTTTTTTTGGTTTTTCAAGACAGGGTTTCTCTGTGTAGCTTTGCGCCTTTTCCTAGAACTCACTTGGTAGCCCAGGCTGGCCTCGAACTCACAGAGATTCCGCCTGGCTCTGCCTCCCAAGTGCTGGGATTAAAGGCATGCGCCACCACCGCCCAGCGCCATCCCTTAATTTTCCTCAGCCTCCTAGAAATAAGATCACCCAACAACAGCCTTTACTTTCTGTATGTATTCCTACAGTCATTTCTGACCCATTTTCATTAACGTAAGTAGTTCATATGCAAAGCTTAATATTTCCATTAGGCTATTTATGCAAGCATAATTTTTTTAAACAGGAAAAATGTCTGTTAAAATACAACTACTTCTTTTTATCCTTTTATTTTATTTTACAAAACCATTCAGTTCTACATATCAGCCATGGATTCCCTTGTTCTCCTCCCTCCTGCCCCCCTCCCCTTCCCCCCCAGCCCACCTCCCATACCCACCTCCTCCAGGGCAAAGCCTCCTCCAAGGACTGAGATCGACCTGGTAGACTCAGTCCAGGCAGGTCCAGTCTTCTCCGCCCAGATTGAGCCAAACTTCCCCGCATAAGCCCCAGGTTTCAAACAGCCAACTCATGCAATGAGC